GTTGAGATTATTATTTCTAAATTTTCCTTTATTTAATACAACAAACTTTTCAATTCAACTCCTTTATTTAAACATGATAAGTAATTCAAACCATTCAAAACATGATATAAAAATCAATCCTTCAAAAATACATTTATAAAAACAAATATTAAAATCAATACCTCCAAACATAATTCTTTCATAAATCATAAATATAATTCAAATCAATTTAATTCAACCACCAATAAAATCATATAAAACATGTTATTTAAACCAATCACTTTCAAATGTATCTAACCACCTAAACGTACCTTGATTTCAATATCAATCAACACTTCGCACTATCAAAGTTCAATCACGAATACACCTTGCAAATAACATAACCATAAGGTTATCACAACATCCATACACTCAAATCTAATGTGCATCACTAGTAGAATAAAGCATAAAGGCACCGGTTCAAACCAGGCTTAAGGCACCGGTTTGAACAGGTCACAATGTGGGGGGTGCCAATAACCCCCCTGTAGACACCCATTTGTGTCTCCCCAAAACCAAACCCATTGATGAGTACCTTTCACGTCGAATCATAATCGAATGAAACGAAAGTGTGGAAAGTCTAGTGTTGCGGAAAGTTTTTATTTCTTTTCTCTTCTCTCTGTTTTTGAAAACCTATTTTAAGAAAACAGCCAATCCAGTTTGGTTGGTCCATGATATGGGTCCTATAGTAGTGTAGTTGGATGGGGCTTGCAAAGACCTTTCCAACGATATATTATAAGCCCAATTCCGATGAATATTGAGGAAGATATGGCCAATTTACCAAACTGGGCCCGGTTTGAGCTTTATATACGACCCAATGATCTAGGGGAGGGCCTAATATGATTTATCATTCCGGAATGGTTTTAGTCTTCTAGATTCTTCTAGAAGGTTCTTTTCATTCCTAATTCAATTAGTATTGATAAATTAACTTTTGTTGACTTTTCAGAGTTTTAATCAAAATCAAATAGCATTTTTTTGAGGAAATTATATGATTTTATCCTCCAGTACGACAAACTTATCGGATTTTTGAAAAACGCGTTGGAATCAAGCTTGGCGTCTAACCCCAGGCCTTGGCGCCTGGAACCAGGCCTGGCGCCTGGCGCTGGTGCCTGGCGCTAGCTAGCCAGGGTTGGCGCCAGCTCTGTTTTTAATGCGTCAGACTCTGTTTTGTCTAATTTATCTTTTTGGCTGATTTTCTCTATAAATATCGTATTAAAAACTCCGTTTTCATTCACCAATCATCTTCATTCATTCACCAATTGATTTCATTCATTCATTCATCAACACAAGTTCTATAATCTGTTTTAATTAGCATTCATTCAATTCTTTCTTTCAAACTTTGTTTTCTCATACAAAATTCCGCATTCACAAGATCTAGAAACACCTAGCCATATTCGAAGTTGCCTTCTCCCTAGACGTGAAAGAAAGAGGTACGAGGCATTAAAGTAAGTACTTTAATCGATTAATTGATATTATGATGTGGAAATCATGTTTACATTGTTATTATGATATTCCTAGTATCATGTCTAGGGTATTTTTAATATTAAATATGATTATTACGATGCTTCCTATGTTCTTCCTAATGTTTATGATTGTTAGTATCATGTTAGGGCTAAAGATTTGTTTTTTATTGCTTAGTGACATGCTAGGGTTTGTTATTAATCTTGTTAGTATCATGCCTAGGATCTTGCTATTTTTATTATGCTTTAATATTAACATGAACATGGTTATGATTGTTATTATGAATATTGTTATTTTGATGATCATTATTTTATTTATGATGATTATTATTATGATTATTATTTTTATGATTATTATTATCTTGATGATGATTATAATTTTATTGTTGATTATTATTATGTTGCTTGATGATTATTTATTTTTATTTCTTGATCACACCTTTTATGCATGTTTAAAGGGAATTGGTACTTGTAATCATGCTTAATAAGATATTTAATAATCTTGTTAGGGTTAATGTGATTATAATTCAAGTGATCACCAATAATAGTTTATTTGTGTATTAAATTCAACCAACATAGATAAACAGGTTTAGGGTTAATCTATTGATTGCATGTTAATCAGAAAGCGCACATGAATACGATCAGAATAAAGTAGAGGCCTATTATTAGGGCAGGTTCAATCTCTTTTAGGTTGGATTTGTACTTTCATCCGCGAACCCTTATTTGGTTCATGACCTTATGGAGTTGACGATCTCTTGGATCGTTAAGGGGTGTAACCTTCATCCTATGAACGGTTTACAAGTTCCTAAAAAACTTGTTGGCGACTCTTTTGCTCTATCTTCTTCCCTTTTGGACGCCACCGTACTTTAGTGTATGATCACAGTGGGGTTCAAGCTAGTGGGATTTTTAAAGGCTTGAAATTATTCCCTACACCCCCACTTTGCCACCATTTCAAAACTGGTGGTATAAACTGGTTTTGGCATCGGTTAACCGGTGCCTTTATTTATTTTGGCCACCGGTTAACCGGTGCCAAATATATTCCCCGCGCAATTTTTTTTGGTGGTAGCCATTTTTGGCACCGATTAACCGGTGCCATTTTTGTGTATTTTTTTTATTTTTTTTAAAAAAATTCCTTTTTTCTTGTAATAATATTAAAAAAAACACCCTGTAATTCCAGGAATAATATTAACTAAAATAATTAATAATAATATTATTATTATTACCAATAATAAGATAATTAATAATATTATTATTATTATAATAAGATACAAATAATATTAAAAACAATAATTCATATATATATATATAGATATAAATATTCCCAAATGCAATACAATTAAAAAAAAGAGTGTTATACACACACACACACACACACACACACACACACACACACACACACACGCAAAGGATAGTAAGTAATTAATGTATAATCATATAGTTAAAAAGTTAACATAGATTTACAATAAAAATGACATTTACATGTTGAAGGTGATAAAAGACGCCAACATGTCACGAACTTCATTAAGTTCCTTGATTGTCAACGGACCATCCTTTTGTACCTTGCAAAACTTGAAATACAAAAAAATTATGTTAGAATTAATTAAATAGGCTAAACAATATTTATTTTATCAAATATGGCCTATATGACTTCAACTTTGCCCATTTTCTACATTTCTTATTAAATGAACTATTTCTTATTATAACATGTCAATGTTGGGTAATATTAGGTGTGTAAGGCTTGAAATCAAATATTAGGTGTGTAAGGAAGATATAAGGTAGAAAATTAAGATGATCAAATATTTAGGGGATGGAGAAATAAAATTAAGGAAAATGATAGATTTAAGGAAGATAATTATAATACAAAAATTACCAAAATAATTTTGCTCAAATATAATATGGTAGCCGAAAATTTGTTCTTTACTAAGATCATATTTTCGGATATCCCTTTAGATATTTGGGAAAATATTTTGCAAGTTTTAAGGAATAAAAATTATTGTGTAAATAATATATTTTGTAGAAAAAATTAATTACAAAATACCAAATTAAACTAACTTAATAAACCAAGAAAAATCAGATTTTCTACATTTAAAAAATCCAAAATTAATAGCTAATTAAATAGGATTTTTGGCCCTTTTAAATAAATAGAAAAATTTAATTTAAGCTTAATTAAAATATCTAAAATATATATAAATAATTAAGTTTTTAAAATAAAATAAATAGATGATAAATCTTATCCAAAATCCAATAATAATTGATTTTTAAAATACTTTTGGTGCAAAATTCAAATATCATTTTGGCTACAAATTCAAATATAATTTTGGCTACAAATTCAAATAGTAAAATAAATTATAAAATATCCTTTTACGAAAATACTAATTAATTAATTACAAAATACATTTAAAAAATGCAGGGTATTATATATTACGTCTAAGTCTATCATTACAAAATACTGACAGGAATGCTCAATTATTGTTGATATTCTCAACCATTATGAAGCAGCTTCCGAGCAGAAAATTAACTATGAAAAATCGGAGGTCTCTTTCAGTTCCGGAGTAAGCGAGGAAAGAAGAAATGAGCTTATGGAGGTCCTTAATATGCGACAAGTTGACAGGCATGAGAAATAACTTGGCATTCCGACCATAGCAGGGAGATCGAAAAAAGTAGTATTTGGAGCTCTTCTAGATAGAATCTGGAAAAAACTCCAAGGGTGGAAGGAGAAATTCCTTTCTCGGGCAGGTAAAGAGATTCTACTCAAATCTGTAATTCAAGCAATTCCCACGTACTTAATGGGTGTCTACAAGTTTCCGGCTTGGGTCACTAAAAACATTCAATCGGCTATGGCTAGATTTTGGTGGGGTCAGAAAAATAATCGGAGGAAAGTTCATTGGAAAAGTTGGGCGCAAATGTGTACACCAAAGTGCTTGGGTGGAATGGGGTTCAAAGACCTCGATGTGTTCAACACTTCCCTTCTTGGACGCCAAGCTTGGCGTTTGATTCGCTCCCCTGATTCACTTTTGGGGAAGGTGCTGAAAGCAAAGTACTTTCCGAAATGCTCTTTTCTAGAGTCGGATTTAAGCCAAAATAGCAGCTTCTCATGGCGCAGTGTGTGGGGAGCTAAAGGCCTTATTAGTGAGGGCACCTTGTGGCGTGTTGGGAATGGATCACAGATCAACATCTGGCATGACCCTTGGGTAGTTAATGAGCAGGGGCGCTTCATCACAAGTTATGAATGTGATACTGTCAAATCCGTGCAAGACTTGATCAATTTCGATAGGATGGAATGGAGGTATGATTTGATAGATGAGGTTTTCAATGAGAGGGATAAAAATTGCATTCTTTCTATCCCTCTTAGTAGCTGTGCTCAAGCAGACGAGTTAACGTGGGCTTTTCTCGAAGACGGGAGACTACATTGTCAAGACAGCCTACATGCTAGGTAAGGGCTATACTTTCGACTCCTTTCACCATGCCTTTGATGACATATGGAAACTCGATGTAAGTCCAAAAGCCCGTCATTTTCTTTGGAGAATGTGTACTAATACGCTGCCTATGCGTGAGCTCCTCGCAAAGCGCCACATGATTGATTATGATGCCCGTCCCTGGTGCAACGCCGAGGTTGAATCGGCTTCTCACGCAATCTTTGATTGTCCGAGAGTAAGAGATCTATGGGTTGAATGTGGCTGTACAAGCATGACAAATTGGAAGGATGCGGACTCGATGTGTGATCTCGTTACAAGCTGGGGCAAATTAGACTCAAAAACAAAGCAGAAGGGTGTTTTTCTTGCTTGGTGTATTTGGGGCGAAAGAAATCGAAAGGTTTTTGAGAATAAATCCACCCCTGATTCTGTTCTTGTTGGTAGAGTAATGAGGTATGTTGATGAGCAGGGCAAGTATGCAAATTCTATTTACAGAGGATTACCAACGAGGGCGAAGACCAGCCCAAAAACTTGGCAACCACCACCTCCTTACTTCATCAAATTGAATGTTGATGCTGCCATTTCTGAAGATGGGTTGGTCGGGCTTAGGGTCATTGCTCGAAACCAGCAAGGGAATGTTCTCTTCTCTACCACCAGCAGGGTTCGGGCGAGTTGGAGTGTCGAAGTGGCTGAGGCAAAGGCTATTGCGCTTGCTGCCAGATTGGGGAAGAGGTATGGTTTACGGAATGTGATTTTGGAGACTGATTGCTTGACAATTACAAACCGCCTAGATCGAGACGCTTTCTTTCTGTCTAAGTTGGATACGGTACTAGGAGATATTCTCCATTTTTGTTGCTCGTTTAATATTGTTAGATGGTCTCATGTAAAAAGAGATGACAATTTTGTTGCTCATCACTTAGCTAGGGTTTTTACTTCCGAGGCGAACCATGTTTGGGATTGCCCTTTTCCACCGGAAGTGACCCCGTATGTACTTATGGATAAACTCACATTAATATAAGCCTAGTTCGATTTGCTTCAAAAAAAAAAAATTATATGTATTATACTAGTATTTCTGTAAATGAAGAGTAGGGGTATTACAAAAGTCCTATAAAATTTAAATTTAAATTGAAAACATAAAAGTATATATATGGTATAAATTAACAAATTACATGAAACTATTTATGAAATAACAAATTGTATAAAATTATTTAAAAATCATAATATCATAATTAATTTAGTATTTCTTGATATTTGGAGGAATTTATAAAAAGAAGTATGAAAAACAACTCATTATTTTGTTTGTTTAATTCCATTAAAAAGATTTTAGGAATGATAGTCTATAATTATTGCATGTAAAAAAGACATTGATTCCATCAAATATAATAAGATCATGTCTGTATGACTTACTTATCAACCTACTCAATTTATTTTAGTAGTTGAGAATATGATAATATTTAATTTATTATGTTGTTCTCATTTTTATTGGCAAATGGCTCGTGTGATAATCACCGAAGTAGTGAATTGAGTATATAATGTAGATTATTAAATTTGTAAATATGGTTCATGAGAGTGTGTTTAATTAGAATTATATTTGTCCTTGTTGATTATAATTTTTTGGAGTTGAAATTACAAAACATTCTAATATGGTTCAAATGTAATAAATTTCATGAGTCGTCATTTAGTTTCATTCAGCATTATGATTGGTATGTTTCATTCCTTTAAAATTTAACAAAACATATTATGATAATATTGAATAAATTTGATAAGAAAAAGGTGGATGAGTGAATTAAGCATTAAGAATGACACGTGTCATATCCTGATTAAATTAAGTCTGGTATGTTTCATCTATATGTCTATAAATTAAGATTAAATTATGATTGGTATGTTTCATCTATAAGTCTATAACTATATACAAAAGGCGAATTAAGAATGACACGTTTCATATCCTGATTAAATTTTTTTGGCCTTTTTTTTTCTTTTTTTGATTTTTCTTTTAGTCAAACCCCAATTAGAATAATATTTTTTCTCTGTGTTTATTAAGATATTATATAACTAGAATAATATTTTTAGTCAAAGATTATTAATCATTTTTTTCTCTCCAAACTTTATTATTTTTGGCAATAAAGTCTATTTTAAAATTTCTATTAGTAAGAGAACAAGAAATTTTAATAACATATATAAATATAAATGTATATTCTTTAATTTTCTACTCTTCACATTCATAATATCATAATATGTCAAAAATTTTGTGCAAAAAAATTTCAACCAAGAAAAATATGATTATACAATACAACATAATCGAAACTAATTAATAAAAAAATTACTTAAACAAATGTTATTATATAAATAAATATATATATACTACTCATATACTACGTAAAGATCCCTAAAAACTCAATAACTCTGAATTAAAAAATGGTTATTAATTATCATTAAGTAAAATAAAATCAAATAAATTTGCTTAAAACATTCTGTCGAATAATATATGTTAACAAATTAGGGACGGAGGGTATTGAGCGCGGGGAGATTAGGTCGTTGACTAACCTCCTCACGGCCAAACAAAATTTATTATAATCCTAAACTAACCCCTAAACAAGTCTAGTGGTAAGTTCGGAGTCGAACCACAAGGAACAGTAATGTTGGATTGTTCTCGATCTAATGCTTAAGCTACACCGAAGTCAGTTTATGGATAGTGGACACTACAACTACACTAACACACATATAAAGATCAAGATATTACAAAGTCTACTAGGGGCAAAGATCCACTTTGAACAATTAACAAGTTAATGGGAATCGATTTGATAATCAATCATGCAAAGAAAGAATTAAAATGGGAATTAATTACCATCAAGAGCAATCTCTCAAATTCCTAGCCTAGATCCCTCATTGACTAGGTGCATAGAAGAAATTTACCCAAAATGCAATCAAATATATAAATTCTAATTCACAATCCCTTGTCAAACTAGAACTAACATGCAATTAAGTTTGCTATCTTGGGAGATCAATCCAATCTAAAACAAACAACATGCCATCATCAATTCAATCAATTTAATCACACAATTATCATCAAATTTATCTCAAATAACTCAATTAACCATAACAAAGCTTCACTCAACACCTAGTAGAAGGAAATCTACTCAAACATGCTTAACAAAGCAATTTATAAAGCATAAAGAGAGAAGAGAGTAAGAAATGCTCATTGATATAAAATGGAGATCTTCAAATCATCAAATTCCTCCTTTGATTATCCAAAATCCATGAAAACCATTGTTTCTCTCACTTCTCTCTCCAAAATTTGAGAGTTTCTCTCTCTAAAAACCTAAAACTACTGAAAATGTGAAATCTCTCTCTAAAATGAGCAAAAAAAAAATCTATTTATAGCCCTTACTAAATTGCCTAGGAAGCTCCGCAAAAAGTCGAGCAGCGCGCAGAGGAGCGGGCGGTCCAATTTCGTGCACGGGTGCTCCTAGCTGCAGCAAAATATGGCAGAATCGTTCCAGAAAGTTTGGAGCGGGCGCTCCTCATAGGATGCGCGCCCGCTCCTATCGGACTGGGCAAACCGCTCAGCTTCAAATGAGCATATCTCCCACGTTTTACAACGGAATTAGGCATATGACCTGTCTTTGGAAAGCTCTCAAGATAAGCTTTCATCTCCAATTGGAATTGCCCCAAAATGTTTTGTAGATCAAAAGATATAGGCGTTTGAAGTTTGATCATTGCAAATCAAGTGCACATTTCTTCATTACTTGTTCTTTTATGTTTTATATTTCTTCAATCTTGAGCAATGAACTTATCCAAGTGTTCCTAAACATAAGAATAAACCAATAAAGTTTAATCTAATGCCATAAGCAACCAAAATATGCAAGAAAAGCCAAAATTTGAGCAATAACGACATTTCACACACAAACATGACAAATGTAGTAAAATGCTATTAAAACCAAGTAAAAAGATTGAAAAACTATGAAAAACTAACTACAAAACTCCTAAAAATAGCGACATAAATGACACTTATTAAATTCCCCCAAGATGAACTTTTGCTCGCCCTCGAGCAAAACAAAAGAAACACAAGGGAATGTGATGCATTTTATACAAACAAAGAAAACTAGAAGGAAAAGAATATACACTAACTCACTTTCGTAGGAATCACGAATACATTTAGCGTATGCATCAAGCACTTTAAACCCTTAGATTGCTCTAGAGGACGAGTAAGCTCTCGTAAGGGTGTCCTAAGAGTTTAACCCATAACTCTTGACAAAAATCAAGGCAAAGCAATAAATAAATAAAATAAAATAAATCGAAGTAAGAGAAAAGTTACAAGCGTTCTAGAGTGGACTTTTATGATGGAACAAACACTAATGAATGTCAATATTTCTAAAATAATAAAGGTATGCACGTTCTAAGATGTCCAAGGTTGATTGAAACATAACATATGCTAAGCATAGAGAACTAAAGGAAACACATTCCACCTTTTGTTCCAACCAATCAAACCACGTTCTCTCTACTAGTTTCAAATCCACTTTCAAGTTAGCTTCTCATGATTCCACGAAGGAACCGGAATATAAATAACAAATTAAAAACATTGAGAAGGTTACCCGACATCTTGGCTATGCAAACTCGCTCTATAGGCTTGATTCCTATTTCCCGCCATCATTGAATGACTTAACCCTCTAGGATCAAAAGGACTCTCAAGGTTGTAACATATAAGCTAGGAGAGTAAAGGTGTGGAGAACTCTTGAAATTGGCGGTAAACCTATGTGAAGCACGGGTGGAACATCTTCCACAAGATCCAAACGATTCCAAAACAAAAGTGCTAAGTATGCTTATTAAATAACTTTCCCCCAAGCTTATTTAACACAAAATAACAAAAACAGGGAAAACAACAATAACAAAACCTCTTTTTTTTGTGCTTTACATTCTTCTTTACTTTTTTTTTTCGATATCTTTTTCCAAGCTTTTGCTTTTGCTCTTTTTTTTTTGGTTTTTTTTTTGTTTTTTTTAATGTCCTTGCCTCTTTTAACTTTGGGCGGCTTTTTCTCAAAATGCATTTGGTTTTATGCAAAAAATTATATACAACACATACTTGCTTTGCAAATGAACTTATAATTCTAAACTTACACCATAAACAATAAAACAAGCTCCAAAACAAAATTGCTTCACAAACTAAAGGTAGGATTTAAAGTGAAACCAAGGCTGGAAGGCTTGTATTAAGGTTAGAGAAAAGAATGTATATGGCTCAAATGGGCTAGTAATAGGGGCAAATGCAAACCAAATCCAAAATTGAAAATTAATCCTATAAAAAGAGAAATGTCTTTTTCATCCCCTAAAGTGGCTCAGTCGCGATCTTGGGAGCTAAAAGTCAAGTTCTAGATATGAGAATGCAATAGCCAAGGATCCAAATATGCCGCTCAACAAAGTATGATGAAGGCTAGAACAATTATACCTCACTAGGGATAGCAATAACTAACTCTTGATTTCATATCCACTATAGAGAGCAACTCCATCTTACCAGAAGCAAGTGAACTAGAGCTTCATGGTCCCAAAGTTCTTAGCCAACTACCTTAGCATACCATATCCTAGAGTCAACCTAACACATTCTCAAACCGTGCACACCTCTAAAATTTAGGAAGAAAGACATTCAAGAATACAAGTCCAAAAGTATTATGTCCAAAGCAAGAACAAAAGAAAATACATTGCAAATTTGCCTTGATAGAAACAAAAATCTTTTTGTTATTTTCAAGACATAGAAAATGGAAAAGCATATACAAATGTGCATGGAATATATATGAATCAAAATCTAACAAATATGATAGAATACCCTCCCCCAAGCTTGAATGAGACAACATGCTCAAACATAAATCAAATAATCCATGGGAGGGGAAAACAAGGAGATCAATCCAACAACCCAACATATCTACTGTTTCAAAGTCACTTTAGGTATCAACCAATGGAGAAAGAGCAAGGAAAGATATTACCGGATTTTAGGTGGGTGTATATACCCGCAAATGACCCAATTAAACT